CACCCCCCGCCCTCACCCTCACCCTCACCCTCACCGATCCCTAATCCTAACCCTAACCCTTATCTAACCCTAATCCAAACCCTAACCCTCGGCTAACCCAAACCCTAACCTTAACCCTCGTTTACCAATAATCCTAACCCAAACCCTAACCCTAACCCTAACCCTCAACCTCACCATCACCCTCACCCCCACCCTCACCGAACCCTAACCCTAAATCTAACCCTAACCCTAACTTTAACCCTAACCCAAAATTTTTCCCAAACCCTAACCCTAACCCTCGCCTAACCCTAACCCTCAACCTCAACCTCACCATCACCCCCACCCTCACCTAACCCTAACCCTAACTCTAACCCTAACCCTAACCCTACCCCCTCACATTCACCCCCACCTTCACCTAACCCTAACCCTAACCCCCACCCTAACCCTAACCCTAACCCGAACCGTAACCCTAACCCTAACCGTAACCCGAACCCTAACCCTAACCCTAACCCGAACCGTAACCCTAACCGTAACCCGAACCCGAACCCTAACCCTAACCTTAACCCTCACCTAACCGTAACCCGAACCCTAACCCTAACCCGAACCCTAACCCTAACCCTAACCCTAACCCTAACCCTAACCCTAACCGAACCCTAACCCTAACCCTAAACCTCGCCTAACCCTACCCATAACATCTAACTCTAACCCTATCCCCCACCCTCACCTAACCCTCGCCTAACCCTAACCGTCACCGAACCCTAACCCTAACCCTAACCCTAGCCCTAACCCTCGACTAACCCTAACCCTAACCCTAACCCTAACCCTCGCCTAATCCTAACCATAACGCTAATTAAATTTAACTTTTTTTTATATCATAATTTCATCAAAATTAACATTTTTATTACAAGTAAACTAATTTCATCAAAATTAACATTTTTATTACAAGTAAACTAATTTCATCAAAATTAACATTTTTATTACAAGTAAACATAATTTCATAATTTCATCAAAATTAAATTACAAGTAAACTAATTTCATCAAAACCCTAACTCGGGTGGGGGGGGGGGGGATTTTTGTGGGGCGCGGGCAGCCCAAAATTTTTGGGCGCCCGCGCCCAAAAATTTTTCCCACCAGACTTCTTTAGCGACGGAAATTTCCGTCGCTAAAGAAGTTATTAGCGACGGAAATTTCCGTCGCTAATAATCCGTTGCTACAGATTTTAGCGACGGATAATTTCCGTCGCTAAAATTTATATTTCCGTCGGTAAAACAAATTTACCGACGGAACAATAGCGACAGAGTTTTCCGTCGCTATAACACTTGTTATAGCGACGGACTAGTCCGTCGCTATTGTTCCGTCGGTAAATTGCAGTTTTCCACTAGTGACACTTGCGTAGTTTCTTGAGTTACACAAGCTTTAGCGACTTCGTCAGGTAATTCTTCATACAACTTAGATGTCCCTGGCACCGGGTGATCAGCTAAGAAATCTGCCAATGCTTGACCCTTAACCGCTTTTTAGGGCATGAATTGCATGTCATATTATGACAAGAGAATGACCCATTTGGCGAGTCGGCAGTTTAGAGATGATGGCTTCGTCATCAGCACTCTCAAGGGATTCACCTTAGAGATGACGTGAATTGTTTGTCCAACTAGGTAATGTCGTATCTTTTGAACTACGAATACCAAAGCGAGACATTCTTTTTCGACCGGGTTATACCGGTGTTCGGCTCCCATCATGGTCCTTCTTAAGTAGTAGATGGCTTGCTCTTGCCCTTGATCGTTGTTCTGGGCTAACAAAGCTCCAAGAGAATGTTCTATAGCTCTCACATATAATAGGAATGGCTTTCCTGATATTAGTGCCACGAGAACTGGCGGTTGAGTGAGATATCTCTTAATCTCCTCAAATGCTTTTTGGCATTCTTCATCCCAAACAAAGGATACTCCTTTCTTCATGAGCTTAGAGAAAGGTTGGCAACGCCCTAAAAGATTTGATATGAATCTTCGAATGTAGGCCAGTCTGCCTTGCAAACCTCTGAGCTCTTTGAGATTCTTCAGAGGTGGCATACCTTGGATAGCACGCACTTTCTCTGGATCAAGAGAAATTCCCTTGGAGGTAACGATAAATCCTAGGAATTTTTTGCTTGATACTCCGAGAAACGATTTTGTCGGGTTCATTTTTAGCTGATGCGCTCGCATGATCTCGAACATTGTCTTTAGATCTGCAAGATGATCACCTTTACATTGGCTCTTTACTGTTATATCATCAACGTAACACTTGATCTTCTATCGTAGGTGTTCGTGAAAAATTGTGTTCATTGCACGTTGATAAGTTGCACCTACGTTTTTAGGCCGAAGGGCATCACTGTGTAGCAATACACCCCCAGTGGTGTTCTAAAAGCAGTATGTTTTTCATCTTTCGGGTGCATCTTGATCTGATTGTATCCGAAGAATCCGTCCATGAAAGACATTCTTTCATATCAGCATGTGTTTTCAATCATAACATCCGTGATAGGAAGTGGGAATTCATCTTTCGGACAAGCCATATTAAGGTCACGAAAGTCAATGCATATCCGGACCTTACCGTTCTTCTTTGGAACTGGAACAATGTTGGCCACCCAGTCCGGGTGTTGTTCCTCCCTAACAAAACCCGAGTCTATAATCTTTTTAACTTCTGACTCAATTGATTCCATGATCTCTGGACGAAACCTGCGTTGTTGTTGTTTAACGGGTTTTGCATCCGGATCAATGTTGAGACGATGCATAGCTACTTTTGGGTCAAGGCCAGGCATATCTTCATAATTCCAAGCGAAGACACCTATATATTCTCAAATGAGAGATATAAGGTCCTCTCTCTCAGATGATGATAGATTTTCAGCTATGAATATGGGCTTAGGGTCATGTTTATCTCCCATGTTGACTTGGATCATTTTATCTTCAGTGGGTGGTTCGCGCTGTTCGAATCGCATATCCCACAAGATGTTAAGGTGTTTGATCCAAGGATCATTGGTTGATTCGATTAACTCTTCATCACCCCCTGCGTCTTCATCTGGATGACTAGCTGAAACCATGTTCACCGTCAGACTTTTGAAGAAAGGTCCGATACTGACGTCGGATTCCCATGAAGATGTTTCGGAAGAATGGTCCTGACGCAGATAATTACTGATTTCATTTTTTGAGACAGAGGGAGTGGTGACGTAGCCCACGCCTCTTCCGGTTTTTTGATAGTAGTCCGGAGGTTTTCCTTCGGGAGTGAGAGACATTCGAATCGGTGTTCGCCTTCCTTTCCCAAAGTTTAAACCCTGTTTTTCATTAAAGTTATACCCCATTCGTTTCATTAAGTGTATAGAATTGGGTTCATGGTAGTGGAATTGAGGAACTCCGTCATCTTCCTCTGAACTTCCTCGTTTGAGTTGTTCGGGTTTGACTTTACCAAAACAGATCGGTTTCTGTCCTTTCCTTTTGGACGGGACTTTGAAGAAGGCCTTCTGTGCGTCTTCTACTCCTTCATTTGAAGCGAAGGATGACTCGATTGGCAATGTGAA